TAATAGTTCAACACACTTTTTCATAATGCTTCTCTTATGAATATGAGCTATGAACATTTCTCTATCACTGGTAAAAATATCAGCCCATTTGGTCAAAATATGACGAGGATATTTAAATTTTTTTTGTTTTCAATGACATATTGGACAGGAAAAAGAGAGGGGAAAGACTTTTGCCCAGAGATGTACGTAATTGTTAAAGTTTACTCTGAATTTTGAGTCGAATGAGAATTCAAATCAAATTTTTCAATTAAAGTGGAAACTATCCGAATATTGGGGCTAAAACTGGAATTTTCCTGTGCTCTACGGAAGCATTCTAGGCAGGTTTCAAGTGAAAAAAACTATCGATGAAATCCAACGTCAATAGTAATTCATGATTCAGCTTGTTTTATTTGAACATAGTAGTAAAATAGCGAATATTCATTGGTTCACGAAAGTTCTTACGAAACAATGACAAAATAATGCTAGCTGCCTGCGATCAGTATCGATCGATGTTTTAGAGATTATTCTCCATATCGAGACTATTATTTCTTTTCGTTTTGTTTATGTATCCTTCTGTTTTTAATGAGTAATGCAAATGTCTCATTGTAATAACCACAACTGTCACCTTCACTTTCTTCTGTAGCGATCTTTTCTATTGCTCAAATCGATAGCATGTTCTCTTGTATCTTACTCATCTGAACGGCTTGTCCAACGATTAATTCGATGATCAATACTTTTCATTAATTCAGGCCATCGTTGTACTAGCTCGGTGCTTTCATTACTTTTGCTATGAGATGATGATGATGATGATGATGGTACTAAAGAGAACAAGGATAATGTAATAAAATTAGTGAAGTTATTCTCACAATATAGATTAGTTAGAATATTTGAACGAATGGAAATTAATGAGAAAATATAATTGAATTTTTATATCAAGAAATAGAAACCGTATGTTTCTTATTTGTAGAAAAGAAGCACTTTCATGCGAAGAAAATCTAACTATAAACGAATAAAATCGAATTTTTCATTTTTTTTTTACTCTTCGCTGTCAGGAATGGAAAAAGAAAAGTACTTAGTGATTTTCATGCTAATATTCTAAGTGAATCGAGTTATTTCAACAAAAAGAGTCATAATTAACTAACGAGACATTGTCATATTTTGATGAATTTAATCAAACCTTGGACAATATATTCTAAACTCTGTTTGCAAATGCTCAAGACTAAGATCAACTTGAACAAATCTTACTCTTCAGAATGTATTCAAGTATCTAGTTGTGTAACACATCGCACTAGATTGTTTATGTATAGATAGAGGCTGCATGAAACTATCCAAAAGATTAATTGATCGAACAGAGATCGTCGATCGATATCAAAAAAAAGGATTTCATTTTACATTGATTATCATAAGACGTCGTACTAAAATAATTTTTATCCAAATATTCTGCAATTCTAGCTTACATGGAACACGAGTTGGTGGATCAACAAATACATTCAATTGATTAATATTTTCTGTAAGACATTCACGTAGCATGCTTCCATTAGCTACAATGTAAATGTCTTGACCAGTATCTTTATTCTTGTAACTTAAGGAATAATTTTGATTCTTTGAAATGGATAATGTATGTCGAAGAGCAGCATCGATGTCGACAATGCTATTGTTCTCTTGAAAACGCAAGGTAATAGGCTCTCCACCATTCTTTTGAATATTGATTTGATTTAAATTGCTCATTTCCATTGACATCTAGAATGGAAGAGAAAACATAAGATCTTGCCATGCATACAATGTTGGTGATAGAAAAGAGTCAGATACAAATGTCCACAAATTATACAAATAGTTTGTTTGCCTTCTTTTTTTTCTCGAACTAGAATTAAATCTTTGTCTTTGTGAGAGATGGATTGAAGAAAGATGGATTGAATCATAGGACCAAACAAAAAAGTTCAATAGGAAAATAGCGACGCTATCGATGTCAAAATTCACTTTATGATTGAGCGAAACAAATCATCCAATACTGGAGCTTCTTGTTCAATGCTTATTCCGATCTTTTTCTTTTTCTACTATACGCTGACATGGTGTGTCGATGACTGACGAATAGTTAATCAAAACATAAAATTAATATAGAATTTGTATCCTATGAAGTTGTACTGTCCACCAATAAGAGATACCACGAAAAGAGAAAACATCAAAATAACTAGTGAAAAGTGCTATAGCCGTGAAATAGCGCTTTTATTTGATTACTGTAGTGACTAGAAGGAAGATATGACTGTTATATGGTCAAAAAAGGAAGAATGATTCATGCCGTTAAGGAAAAAATCCTATCGGTTACAATTCTGGCTTAGATATTTGTGTTGATGATGATTTGTTAAACAACACATATTCTATCAAATGATGAATATGTCATATAAATCGGTTGAAGAGTTGGTTCAGTCTTATTTCCCGACGAACTTCTAATTCGACCTGTATGTTTCTCGGTCAAAGGAAATTGCGAATAGGAGAGATTTATTCTTGAAAGGATGTTTGTACCATCATAGTGACAAACAATCGATATTAAAAGACAGATTAACGTCTGAAACTCCTAATCTTCATCGAATCTTTTACTAATGCTCTTCAAATTCATGTTAGATTGTTGTTAAGAATATATGACCAACATCTTATTCTGACAGAGTAATAGAACAAGAAATTTAAAAAAATGACCAAGTTCAAGTTGAAGACGAAACAAAAAAATCAGTACTCTTTCTATAACTTGAGCACTAATGTTATCGTGTATGACACGTCATTTGTCAATCTTTTTTTATTGACTAAAGTACTCATAAAAAAATTTGAGTTCGATCGGACATATCGTATAGGAGAAAATGAGGAAAAACTTCAATAAATATAAAGAGCTGTTTCTAAGAACATTAATAAAAAAGATAAATTCACAAAATTGCTACCTAAAAAACCATAGGCTTTTTTTTCAAGATAGGAGTTCTCGAAACTAACCTTTTTCAAGGTTTATACGGCTTGGCACAGTTCTGATTTTTACGTCACTTCAATCCATTTTTAGAAACGAAAACCTCGAAATCGAATAAAAAATTTTGTTAAGTTCGGAAAGGGAGTCCTCTTCAACCAATCAAAGTTTGTTGGTCTTGTGTCGACATGTCAACAATATCTTGGTACATTATTATTACATCAATTTGATGTCCTTATTCTGTGATTTGCTTCGTACATTAATCCGCACTTCATTGCAGAAAGTTTAAGCCAACGAAAGAACTAAATGAAATTTTTCGAAAAAATAATATTAGACAAATCTATAGAATACTGTGTTTTATTCAAAATATAATCCATGAGCCAAAGCTCGCAGCTCGTGGATATACTCATCGTAAAATTGGATAAGCGCAGTCCAGTCAATGGAGAGTTCTGGTATTAATAGTGTAAACAATATAATCATTTATCTAACTCTTTGAACGGAATTAGTGAATAATTTACTCCCAAGAGATTCTTAATAAGAAATTCGACTTATCTCTCATGTTATTTTTACAAACATTGGAATTCTTTGGCCTTATATTAAATTCATGATCATCATAATGATAAAGTTTTTAGTGTTCGGACACATTACCGAAGTAGTCATTGGATTTCATCATTTAGAAATACTTTTCGTAAAAGAACCTATGTGACAAGTTTGTTCGTACTACTGCAGTACCTCTAAGGGTTAACAGTAGGGCCCGTTTAAAATTTACTGGGTCCGAACCCGATTATTTAGAAATTGTTGGACTCGGATCCGATCAATGCAAAATTTCCAGATCCGAGCGGGTCCGGATCCGACCCGGCGGGCTCTAGTTGCCAGCAGGTTGTCGGTCGGAGAACACCTACCGGTATATTACAGTAGAATGGCTGTCAAAAGATAGCCGACCGTTTAATTATCAAACTACCATTGGTTGACAGTCAGATTTTTGTCCGACTTGAATCGTAAGGAGACAACATACTTATTATTAATGTTAGTCCGGGCAATGTAGATATGAGCAATTTATGGTTCAGATCGAACCATTGAAAAGTGGTCTAATTTAGAGGTTTGCCTACTATTTTAGTATCATATAATATGGATTCCGTCGTGTTTTTTTTAAACTATTTTTCAGTCTAGTTTTCATCTATAGTAAAAAAAAGAACTCTATTCGAGTTTCTTTTTGTAATCCGATTTAAAATCATATTCATTAAATTTTACTTACGATTTGCAATAATTTTATTAAATCTTTTCCAAATATTTTGTATATCTGTATCAACTTTAACTTCAAATTGATGTTCATTTATTGGTAATAAATTTGTATCAATACTTTTTTGTAATCGTTTTTCACATTCATTTTTTAATAATTTATTCAAATTTGGCATATGATTTTCTCTAATACTATCTAATATACCAATAAATACACGACAATTATTTGGTATAAATAAATCAATAAATAATTTTCCATTATCTTGATGTATATATAAATAAATACATTGTAATGTACCTGATTGTAAATATGTTTGTTCTGATAATGATAAAAATTCTAATTCATCAAATTGATATAAATTTGAAAGTATATTTGTACGATGTTGTTCTTTACGTAATGAACATATACAACCAAGTGTAATAAGTAAACGAAAATCTAATGGTACATTCATTTCATAAACACCTTCAATATTTGGATTACTTAACTTTCAAAAACAATATGATTTTTAGGCCGACATCCCCTTTTCGGATAAGATTTTCGATGATTTCCGTTAACGTCTTCTTGAAAAATATGCTTATTTTGAAAAAAACGTAAAATGTTTTTCGTTTTTTCTCAGTTTAGGTTTTCTGGACTGCGCAATCCATTTTTCTCTGTCCAGGCTCATTCAATATATTTAAATTTTTTTTTGTTTGAAAGAGCACGTCAAGATGCAGTGCAGTACAGAGTCCTTTTTTTAAATTACGCTTGTTTTTTATTATATATACAGACACACAGACACCCATTTTTGGCGCGTTTTTTGAGTCATTGAACTTGTGATCCCCTTTTTCCGCTAAAAAACTAAGAATTTGAAAAAAGGACTCTGTGGTGCCCTGCATCCCGATATGCTCTTTCTAACAAAAAAGAATTTAAATATATTGAAAGAACTTGGACCGAGAAATCTTGGACAGTAAATGAGGTATTTTTGACCCTTGTTTTGGTTCATATCTCTGTCAAATATCAGGATACCGAGCTGAAAATTTTACCACAGCCTCCTCACTTCAGCCCCAACATATGCCACAAATTTCAGCCCATTTGAACGTTCCTGGGCTGAGATCGATTTTTGAGTGGGATGGGGGCCTTAAATATACCTATTTGATCAGTTAATTCATATGATATTATTTGCCATGGACGTGTATGTAAATGTTCAGCTGCACGACGAATATATGTATCAATTTTACCATCATTTGAAGTTTTTTGTTTTGTTATTAATGAATTTTATCAGATGTATGATGTCGTTGTTCATATTGTATATTCCATTTATGTTTTTGATAATTAAGCCATTTAATGTGTTGATTTATTGTTTGACCAAATGATGGTGGTGGACCAAGAACAATTCTTCATTGACGTGTTATTGTCTTATCATTTAATTCATCACGTTTACGTTTTAATGTTTTTTTTATTGTTGTAGTTTTTTTATTAAATTTATCGATGATTTTGTTTGTTCACCTATATCTTCAATATCATTTGTTATAATAAATTGTGGTTCATTATTATCTATATATGTTTGTTTATCAATTGAATTAAATACATCAGTTATACGTTTTTGTTTATATAAACTATTTTTTTCAACTAAACGTTTATGTAACCAATCAGGATGTGAAACACGTTGTACTGGATTACGTATATTTTGTAAAGCAGCTGGAATAATTATTATTTTTTGTATACAACTATTAAAACGATCAATATAATAATTCCAATCGAGAATTTCACGTATATCAAGATTATCAACAGTTGATAAATGTAACCATTTACGTAAATAATGATTACGTATAGATTGTTGAGATTGAAATATAGCTAATGGAATAGCACGTGCAGTAATAGATACATCACGTGGTACATTAGCTATATCAAAACGATAACAAAGACCTTTATCTTTAATAACATCTTCACCAAGAAATTCGGCAAGTCTAAAAAACAAAAAAAAAGACATTCGATGAATTATTTAGACTTAATAGTATTCATTCAATTTGGAGCAGCAAAAATTTATTTACTTACGAGGGAATTACCAGAAATGAAATGTCACGTTTGCAATCAGACCCGAGTCATTACGTAGGGTCTGTTGAGACTAGAAGAAACCTACAAGGATTCTTCCCTATGTGCTGCCTTTTTTGAAATTATGACCGTTACACCGGATTTTTACTCTTTGTCACGGTATTTATTAAAAAAAACCGGATAAACGAATTTTGATCTGAAACTCTGCCCATAGACAATTTTTGAAGTCATTAGAATCTGCTAAAAATTTCAGCGAAAAAGATTCTATGGGCAAAGTTTTCAGTAAAAATTCATTTGTCTAATTTTTTTGATAAATATCGTACCAAAGGTAAAAAAACCCAGTGTAATGGCCTTAACTCCAAAAGGACAACGCATAGGGAAGAATCATTCTAGGTTTCCTCTAGTCTCAACAAGTTCTGCTTGTATGATTACAGAGATATTCGCTAATTACTTTTTTAATTAATACTCAGCAGAAAGAGTCAACATATGTTTATGCTAAAAGAACTTATCTGAAAAAATAATTCTTGTAAAGAATCAAAGTCAAATGAATGGAGGGAAGTATGTCCCATTTTTCCTGAAATGGTCCATGTATTGAGCCCGAACTTCCCAGTCACAGTTCTTCTCGTATTCAATCGTTTCCGACACTCGAAATAACCCAACCGAGGCTTCTTCCTGGTTTATTTTCAGCTTCGATTCAAGCTCAGTGATTAAGTATAAATCAATATTTCATCTTGATATAAATTTAATTTCATCTTTTAGCTATCGAAATTGATGTTGATTTTTGTTCACCATAATTGGATAACATTCTTGACATAGTTCTTCGTTCTGATATTAATTCAAATAATTCTTTATCTGATATATCTTTTGCATGTGAATATAACATATCAAGCCAATAATCAGCAATAGTTGCAACATGATTATAACATTCTTCAAGTGTTGTACCTTTAAGAAATGCTTCAAAAACACTTGTTTGAAATATTTTTATTAATTGTAATTCACCATTACGTTTTACTTCGAAACCTTTTAATTCAGCTATAGAACCATCCATATTAAATACACAATAACGTTTTTTTATACGTTTTCCTTCTTCTTTTGATGCTGGTAATATCATAGCTAAATAAGGACCATCAATTTAAAAAAAAATCGAATTTTCTGAACGAATTTCATATATATGTTTATCTTTATCAATTAATTCATGCTATTGATCATTTGTATAATGGTCTTTAATAATTAAATTTAATAAACTATATGGATAAGATATAACAACTTTTGGACGTGATGGATCACGTGTTATTAATTCATAATTTTCAGGAAATGTTGCTGGTAATACACACCATATACCATCCTAAATAAAATAATAATTCATATAATCATTTATCTGACTTGTTAATCAAAAGTATAAACGTATGAAAAACAAAAATAGAAAACTTTTCTACAAAATGAAAATATGTTATACATAACATAATATTTCATAGAAAAGAAACTTAAGCGGACTTCTTCACATTTTCGGTTACCGTATAAGATACCGTAGTCGCGAATTCTTCAGATGATTTTGCTTGCGATTCTTTTCCCAGCCACATTGAGAAAAATGTTTTTACACATGCTGGACACTGTTTAGAGAATGTATGTTTTTTGGATTTATTTTTCATGGCTTGTAAATCCGGTCAAAATCTATTGATTCATCAGATTTTGGCCAAAACATCGTTTTCAAACAATAGGAAAATTTTACGCTCTTCGAAACGTATATAGAATACAAAAAAAGTAAAATTAGAAAGTCTAAAAATGTTAAATAGGATAAAAGGAGGAGATTGATGATGTTTGGAATTTGCTGTTGATCTCCTATTGACATCGATCACAGTAACTAAATAGAACATTAAAGAAGAAGGAAGAATATCGTTGTCTCTTGCGTCTACTTAACGGTATGAGGCACTGCTCAGAAGCAGTTTCATAAGGTCGATATCTTCTCTGCAAGTATTACTAGTTGTAGCTCTGGACAGGCTCGACTCAGTTCTCTCACTCAAAGATATCGTGTGCTACCACAGGGATGGTACGAGACAATCAATCATTCATCACTAGCGACGAAAATACTCAGATACAAGTACCTTACGAGTATATGCTAAATAATTTCTATTAAATTATTATCGAGACTATGCTTACTGTATCAAGTTCAAGTGGTCGACCAATTTGTTCAACAAGTTCTCGAGTACGTTTGATAATAGTCGAACCTGTTGTACATACAATACCACCCATTTCCATTCGATACCAACGAGCGCCTAAATTAATCAAAAAAAAAATTACAATTTATTTAACATGTCGAAATATACCTCTTCGCATAACATAACCATAAAATGAATTAAGAATACATTTATGTGCAAGTTGTAATGAATCCTAAATATTGAAAATAATATGATTAAATAGAAAGATAATAAAATTTAACTTACATAAATAACAACTAAATTATTACATCGTTTAACTTCATTAAGATCATCTTTTTTTGATGCATTTGCTAAATTTTTTTTCCATTTTTTATGTAAACCTTTTTATTCATAACGTCGATCACGAAATGCACGAACTGTATCAACATAAAAAGAATTTTCACATTGACATACAGTTGTTTCTCGTGTTTCTTCTCGTGTATGATTCACTTTTTTATATGCTTTATGACAATAACCAGCTAAACGATTACGTTCAATTGATAATTGAGTTTCTTGTGGTAATTCATGAAATGATAGAGTATTGTTTGCTGAAAATGAAAAGACAGTTTTTACATATGAAGCTTATTGATTAGGTGTGTGATAACTCATAACTCGACGAATCAAACTACTGATGATCAGCTTCTTTGATGCGAACTGACTTCCTAAATGCTTCATTTATTCTATTGAGAGCTCCATTTTTAGGTCGTGTAAGCTGGGTTGTATATATGGGCTGTCAGGAATATATTGAAAAGGATAATATCAGATTTTCAGAAAACTCAACTCGTAGAGCAAATGTCCCTAATATCGACAGCAAAAAATTCACTTATCTTG